GCCCCATCTGGAAAATAAAAAACAAACAGGCACAAGATAAAGGACTCCTATGGGTAAAATTGGCATCTTTCATCCAACACCCAATACAACCTTCTTCCTAGGCTGCTTCAACTTGTCTCGGTCTGGGGTGCATCGTGTCCACTTATCATCTGAAAAAAACCCACAAAAAACAAAGGGTTAGTCAGGTCAGCTGCATGGTCACTGAGACCTTAACCATTTAAAAGATCTCATTTCCACTGAGAGAGTGAGAACTCTGGCCGCAGCATATGAGAAGTAAAATGACAACCCAGCTTCAAGGCCCTGCTATCCCACTACCATCAGCTCCACAACACTCAGCTCTAATGATTGCACACGAGTTACCGACACCTGCTCCATCCGGCAGGACTGTACAGCCATCGGCTCCACTGTCTGAGGTAACTGACATGTTGATGTGAGACACTGAGCAATATTCCATCTACCCCCTGATCCACGTAGCAGGGCAGAGCAGTTCCAGGCTGACCCCGAGTGAGACATCCCATACCCCTGACAAAACAAACCCTGTGACACAAAAAACCCTAAGGACACGAAACACAGACGAGACAAAGGACGTGACACAGACTGGAACTGCTCTGCCCTGCACACGGGAATCCAATGATACAAAGTAAGCCCTTCCTTTGATGCAGCCAAATAACCCGTTATAGGATACCCATTGCACTGTACTGATTTCAAAAATCCCTCTGGGCGATGCACATGCTTGGACCGACTCCCAACCCCTCTCTGGGTCGTTGCCCTGCACTTATCTTTCTGAGACCCGGGGATGTGAATCCATCTCTGATGCAAAGGAGGGGCACCTGGGCTGGCTCAGAGGTTCCTGCCGTCGTGAGATCACTCGGAGTCAACTACGAGAAAGAAAACCAGACACAATGTCTGAGTAGTGTGGCACGTGGCCCCAGCCCCAAAGATCCCTCTACTCACTGTCACTGAGGCGGGTCCTCGGGTCACTGGCTCTGACCGGAGTTGGACAATGTGCTGTCATCTTCCAGGACACCTGAGCGAGCGAGAGACAAAATTAGAGGGCATTTTAAAGCTGCAGTGGATCCCTGCTCCTCCTGCTGCCTCCCCGACTCTCCTCCAATGCTCATCTGCTCCCAAAGGTTACCTGGATGGCACCTGCAACCAAAAAAGCTCAATGGTTCGTTGCTGATCCTTTCAATATTCAGAGATTACTGACAAGGACAGCTCCACAGGACCGTACTGTGTCCGTCACCTCATTGTGAGTTGGCTCCGGCCCTGTGAGGCTGCGTACATCTCCTGCAAAAAAACCCAGAGGCAAATGCCAGTACTGAGATCCTGTCCAAGAGTGTGCTGCTCCCATGGCAGTTTCTGTCTGACACCCCTTGACCGTGACCTCTTACAGGCAGGGTCCCCGTCACGTTGGACTGCACGTTACAAGTCGGTGCACTGCCTGTAAAACAAAAAACTAAGTATGTACACAGATTCACCAGAAGTACAACACCTGCAAAACAGCATCTAGCTTTGTCCTGCAGTCACTGCTCACCTTGCTCACTGGGCTCACCTTCCCTCTGGTGCCTATTGTCTACTGGGCTGGGGGCTCCACATCTTAAAAAAAAAAAAGAAAAAACAAAACTAAACCACGAAAACATTCAAAGGCCCAAAAATCACATCTTGGCTCTGACCTCACATGAAAACCCACCTTCTGACTGTGCTCCTCCAGCCTCTTTTCTGTTCAACTCTGCTTTACATCCAGTCCCTCTGACATGGACAGCTGAAGACCATCAAACCTAATTGACAGGTGGCTGCAGCCCTCTGAGGCTGCACACATTCTCTGCAAAGTAAAAAACCAAAGGCAAATGTACAGACTGAGATACTGCCTGATAGGATGGCTTTCCTGGGGTACCTCCTACCTACCTCTCCTCCACAGTGACCTCTTACCAGCAGGGTCCCTGAAGCACTGGACTGTCTGTGAGAAGGTGGCAGATCCCCTGGAAAACACGAGAAACAAAGCATGTGCACACATACACCACAACATCTGTAAAAGACCAGCTAGTTCTGGCCTGGAGTCGATGCTCACCTTGCTCACCGGCACTCACCCGGATCACCTCCCCTCCGGTGCCGTTGCTGCGCCACTCTCGGCACTACGTGCGCCCCATCTGGAAAATAAAAAACAAACAGGCACAAGATAAAGGACTC